TGTTTCCTCCATTCAACTTGGATCAAGGCTTCTCAATCTTGCTGAGAACCAACCTTGATCTGAAGCTGAATCCACTAGACTTAACTGTAAAATATATAGGGATTGCAGTATATCTAAAGGTTCAACTTTGTCCTCTGATAAGGATTTCTCCAAATAGACACCAAACTAAATAATCTCCCTCCGTTTATTCACGTCATTCCATGAATGCTGTTCCTCAATGTTTTCCTCACTTTTCAGATGTTTCCTACATTTTGCTCCTCACTTTCAAGGCTGTCTGAAGTTCTAAACTGTTGTCATTTCCTCCCATTTTTCTAGCTCACACTGCTTCCTGATTTAAGTTCACCCATCTATCTTTCACCCACTTTCAACTTCATGTTTTCAGCCATGTTTTGGCCTTTCTCCTGTCTCACATCTCTGGCTGGCACTTCAAAATGTTTTATAGTGAGATTTAGAAATATAAGCAAGTCTAATATTGATCATAACTTAGCCCAAATTAAGCACATTTTAAGGATGATTGCTTAATGTTCTCCACTTGAAATCAATGGCCATATTTGAAATTGCAGCATGTAGACTATACCCAAGTCAAAAGGATTTGATTTAATTTCCAAAGTCTTTTTGGCTTAGCAACTGTGACATTATTCTATGCTTGTGATGAACTTCCTGATAAGATTAATGTGACTGTGTGTAGGATACATACCTTGTTTCATTAGTTATCTAATGCAAACGTGTGAATCATCAAAACTATATATTGTTGAAACACTCAAGATATTTGTTGTCAAACAAGGAAGGACAAGTAGAGGTCAAAGCTCCAGAGCGTCAGTTACTATTTGACTCATTTTTAACACAAAATGTTTTAATTTGAACATTTGAAAGGTACTTTAGACTCTGGTGAGACATAATGGTTTTATTTGTGAGAGAAATCTTTAAACATGAATGAGCATTACTTCTGGATATCTTAGATAGTAGTATGCATTTCTTCCAAATATGGCAAGCACCCTTGTTTTGTTTGGGCCTTCCTTGTTTATTCTTCTAGTTTTTGGATATATACAACCTAATGTTAGGCAAAGGGAGTGAAGTGATGGTTTCTGGACTTGTGCCTCAAAGTAGTAACTTCTCAGTGTTTCTGTTGTCTGTCATTGGGCTGCTTTTGGATAACCATTTTACCACACCAGCCTTGTGCCTGACAGTAGAAGACATAAAAAGTTGGAATAGGGTGAAGGATTACCTGCTGTATTTCCATATTCTCTACCCAGACATTTGCATACTTAGTATAAAGACCTGAAGGGGTTCAATGCATGCAGAAGCCTTGTGATTGGAAGCCCAGTTTGATGAAGGCTCTCAATCACACGGAGGCTTCAAAACAAGTTCAGCTAAACATATGAATAAAGGCTTCTTTCAAGCATTATTCCAGGGAATAATGAGCAGATCAGGGCTAAATTGGTACGTTCCAGATGTGGTGAGACTACAGTTCTTAGAATTCAGTCAGTGGCCATGCTGGGAGTTTAGTTTCAATACCTTGGAGCAGCATGAGTCTGGGGAACATGGTATACTACTTAATAAAATACAAACACAATTAGGGTCAGCCTGGATCTGGTTCCATCAATGAAATGTTTGTGCTCACCGTCCACATTAGAACACCTGTAGCAGTAAGTGTTGCACTTTCCTTCCACTTGCCTGCATTTCTAGCCATGCAGTCCAAAACATGCATGTTTGGAAATTGCTTCACTGAATTAAATTAACCACAGGCATGAAATGGAAGGTATAAGGCTCTGCCTACCTAACCACATAATTCAGCAGCGTGAGAGTTTTAGGGCCATGAAAACACTTTTTCTTTATGGATATACCGATAATAACTACTACATTAGATTAATAAAAGCTAATTACACCAAACACACTATTATCAATCTCAACTGGTAAGGATGCAGCATCCCAGTTATGAGGGTATTAAAATGAGACACCTTAATCTAAGATCTCTAAATCTGTTCCCATGTACTAATTGAGACAAATCTTTTTCCATTTTTTTATTTTTCTGATCTGTTTGAGAATACTGTCTGTACAGCACTCCCTAACTTTTCCCATGCATTTACTTGCTGTGTAAACATAACCGGTCTTCAGCAGTTCTAATAAAAATGGAACAACAATAACAAAACAAAACAGAAAAAACCTGCTTGATAATTCCAAGAACTCCTTGTACTTTATTTAGAATGTAGCCTACCAGCTTAGACTTGGCTATTACTGGGCTAGGTTGATCTTGATGTTTCTTTTTCTTTTTAAGGATCTTGTTCTAAAATTAAAGGCTCTGATCCAATTGAGTTCCACTAAAACCAAGGGAACAAATAAACCATTCACAAATATTCACTTTTCAACTCTTTACCGGTGGTACCACATTCCAGATGTTGTCATCTGCTTGGAATTACGGGATTACAACTAGTCCATTCTCTACTTATCTCCAATTTAAAGGTTTGAATCAACCTGGAAACAAATGGGGCTGGAAAGAGACTGATAATCAATCATAACTATGCCTCATAAGTTTCTTCCAGTTAGCAGCTTAGTGGATGCATTCTAAAGCATTTAAACTTTCCAAACTGCCTTTAAAAGGAAGCCCAAAGGACAGCACATTATTGTAATCTAACCTGGAAGTAACTCAGGCCTGAATGACCAAGGCCATTTTTTTCAGAAAAAGAAGATCACAACCTGCATAGCAAACTAACCCAGGAAAAGCCTCTTTCCAGATACTTCTTCCATCCAACAATCCAACAACAGAACTGCAACCCCATCTGAAGCAGGATGAATAATTACTGTACTTTCAGACAACCAAGAGTTCTTCTGGATTAAACTGACATTTGTCCTTCCTATCATCCAAACTACAAAAGACTCACTTCCACATTCTTTTTGGTGGAGATGAGTCAATTATATTCTGAATAGTACTCTAATTCCAATCTCCTGATGACTTTCTCCAACATCATGTAGATGCTAACTAATATGGGAGACAAGATAGATCCAGAGGTCAGCAGGTAGAAGAACCATTCCTTAGCATCTAGAACCAAAGTAACTAGGAATGTGGTACCACCAAGTCCTGACGTAACCAGAAGGATATTGAAGAATAAGTGATAGTATTGAAGCTGCCAAAAGTTCGATGACAGGTGGCAAGCATGCATTTTCTGTGCACATTTCCCAGTGAAGATTTTTCATCCAGTTTGTTTGTTAGGCAGCTGGACCTCCCAAACAGGCAGCTTACAGCTAATTACCAGAGTGTTTCAAAAACCATCTCCAAAGCCAAATTAATTTTATTTTTAAATGCTGGGAGAGTGAAATACCTACAAATTCCACAACGATAACCAGGCAGGTTCAACATAACTAAAAGGTTTAACATGTGCATCCAATATATCTGATGCTGTGTGAAGACATAATATGGCTATAACTCTTAAAAGATATACTCTAGTAATAACACTGCAGGTTACATTCTTGGAGAATTATGACCAGTTGAGAACTTGTGTTTTGGAATAAGGCAATTACAGATAATCAGTGGAGCACCAGTGCAGCTAATTTTAAGTAACCTGTTAAATTGCAACTTTCAAGAGCCATGGGTGAAGGTGTGCAGCTTGCCTGTATAAGTTTTTGATTTTATGGCTATGCATTTTTATTTTATTGCCAAATACTGCCCAGAATCTATGGGACTGGGGCGGGTTAGAAGCACTATAAAATAAATAACAAATAATACACAATTATTTAACAGAATTTCCAAAACACTTTGCTCAGGCACAGTATAAACAGGCTATTTCCATGTAATCTTAATTACTGGAAACCAAAAACTTGCAGGTTATGGATGGCCTCTAAATTATAACAATCATCCTATTGGAGAACAAAAAAACAAGAGGGAAAGCAGCTGTCCTACTGCACCACCGCTACTGCAAATGACCTTGAAAGCCTATCAGGATTGCCCCAATAAGTTCAATAACTTTGGGTTGACTTTGCTGACACGTAGCTTGCTAATCATTATTGTTTTTCTCTGAAGGGTACACCAAATGAAGCGTGGTGGTTATGTGCTAGGTAGACACTCAGTTCAGCAGGAGAACGATCAACCTCAATTGCCATTGCCAGAACTCCACACAAACTGATTGCGTGCTCTAGGCTATATTACTCAGGTATTCTACTGCTGACAAGGTAGTGGAGAAAGATTCTCTGAAGGACAATTTGGAAAACACTCAACTAACGTCCTTCTAAACAGCTCAAGGAATTCTGTTGGCCAAACTACTGGTCTAGGATGAATTTACTAAATGATGGAAATTGGCACAACTTTTTGTATGATTCCATTTTGAGAAGCTTCCATACACATATTCACAAATAAATTGGTGCTTTTCTGAACTAGTCTACAATTGTGATGGCTAGATCATTCCTAATGATCTAATGTAAGCAAAGGAATTGGCTTTTCTGTCTTTCACCTTCTCCCGTAATATTTTTGGCTCTGAATTAAAACCACTGAATCTAGGACTTATGTGTGTTCAAAAGATAGGGGAATGTCATTTCAAAATGCAATCAACTGTTTGAGGTAAGACTGCTTAATTGGTAGAATTATGTAACTCTCCAGTGCTAGAAAAATTTCAGATGGCAAAGATGAACACGCCTGACTTTTCACCCAGAGAAAATCTAGGAATAACATAGCCAGATTTTCCATTAGGGATGTATAAAATAGCCCTGAAAGGTGTTCACCCATAATAGGATTAACAACATGATCAGAGGAAGTCAACTAAGGTCAGTAGCACTGTAACTCAACCAAAACAATACTAATTGAATTAGCAAATCAACCTTTCTACTGCACAGTTGGAGTAGAAAAAAGCCAGAGAAGACACAGATCTGATCTTTTTCACTGTGTGTTTATATATGTGAAAGCTGCATTAATGCGCTTTTGTTTATCACATCACTCCAACAAAGCTCTTCTTCTATTTTGGAGTGGTTCCCCCCCACCCCCCAGTGCATACATGACACAGTTCTACCCTTTGTTTTTTTTTAAATCCAAATTATTTATTTTGGCAAAAAACATTGGCATGGTATTTATTTGCATTGTGTTTTTTAAGCTGTGACTTTTTTTCCTTTTTTTGAAATGACATTTTTGTTCCATTAGGGCAGTTTCTCCAGCTCTTAATCAAAGTAGCAGTAACAAGTCAATGCTTATGTCTACTATCACACGGATATTCCTACTGGGATGGCTGGATTCTAGTTTTACTGACATAGAGCCAAGGGGCTGGAGAGCTACAGCAATTTTCAGGATGAACAGGTTGCTGATACATTCCAGTTCTGACAGCCACCATGGTATGCATGTTTCATGGATTCGCTACAATTCCTTATAATTCTGGCAGGCTCCTATGCCACAGAGCAATTTCTAATGAACACCATTATTTGCAATGACTAATTAGAAGACTGCATAATGATGGCTTTCATGGGCGATATGCACTTGCAAGTCCATTCTTCCAGCATTTGTGTTGTATTGCCCTGGAGCTTTTAGCTCAGATGTATAATTGTAGAGAATGGTCGATTTCAGACTGAACAAACTGTAGCTCAATGGTATACTGCATGCTTTCCCTGCAGAAGACCCGCAATTCAAGAAGACCCTTAATTCAAGGTATGTAATTCGATACCTTGAATTAAAAGAATCAGGACAACTATGATTGGAAAGACCATGACAAAGCCTCTGTCAGAGAGCATAGAAAGCATCTTCCAGTCAGAATTGTGAGTATTCTTGAAGAATGCTTCAAATTATTCAAGAAGGCACCACACTGGCAAAGGCTAAGCTATACTGAAAGAGAAACAAATTCAGCTCAAGTTCAGGAATGTTGGATGTAAGATACCTCACACAGCTCTTCTCCAACTGACCTTTGTATGAGAGCTGAGGTTTTAACTGAGCAGCTACTATTGAAAACATTTGTTATAAAAGATAACTCCTTGCCCTAGTGATCAACTACACAGCTTGAGCAACCAACTGGTATATTAAATACTTGGTTTAGCTGGTTTTCGTCCTCTGTAGCTGTACAGCTTGTTTGATGGTAACAAATAGAGTCTGAACAGGTAGGGCTGGTTTTCAATATTTGCTCAGACAGTTCCTTACAGTGGCCTTGAGTAAATCAGGGCAATTGTGAGATGCAAATAGGACAGACTTTGTTGCCTCAGTGTGTGATGAGAACTGTTTTTGTATGTCATATAAAAGAGAAACAAACAGCAGCAGCAAACAGATATAATTAATCTGCATTTTTAAATGGAAATTCCATTCACACACACTAAGTACTATTAAAGTTCTAATCTCATTCCAATATATGTACATCTCTAAACTTGATCTGAATCTCAGAAGTGAAAAATAGTCTGCCACATATCACAGCACAGACTTATCTTTTCTACTGTATATATTGCTTGCTCCAAAACATGGCTTGGGAGTGAGAGTGGACACAATGTTTAGCTTGTTAGCAGGTCTTGAAACTGATTCCTTGTCTTCTAAAGAAACGTATAAAACAAAGTTTCTCTCCCCAGCATCCTTTTGAATCCTATTTGCAAACACAAGCACAGCATTTATCCTTAACAATAAGGCAGATAGTATGCAGTAGTTGTTCAGTTTGAGGCAGGAATTTCCTTTGAAGGAAAATAAGGAAACAAAATTTAATTCCATAAAAAAAAGATCACAAGTTGCTTCACATTCTTCAGGAGTCTTTAGCAGCCAATTTCATAATTCTGTCTGTCCCTTGGAAGAATGAAGACTCTATCAATATGAGCCCTTCAGTAATTTGTCACAATGAATGGCGCTTAGTTGTTTCCCAAAGCTCCAGTCTCTTTGTAGTGAGCAGCTGGGCCACTCCACTTAAAAGCATCAGGAAAATAGTGAAGGACATCACAATGACATAATGGCTAATACTGCAATGAAGAGAAAATGGGTTAGAAAGAAGCAGATTGCAAATCAAATAGTCTAGAGGAAACAAGGTTTACTGGTAAAATTACACACACACACACACACAATCTTAGACTAGTACATTCAAAGTTTGTGATCTATCAGCTACTGGTTATAACTGGACATCTTACTGCAGCATTGGAAAGATAAATGTACGGCCCCATTTATTCAATGGATTGAAGACTTGATTGCATTTGCTACTTATGAGCAGATTGCCTATAGACATAGACTTTGTACGGACAAGTATAATGAAATATGGGACTCATTTATACAAAATACAATGGGTTAAAAAAAACGATAGTCATGTAACTCTATTAGAAATATATATGTACTTGAATAATATTTGTATTAGATAAGTATATATAGAATTGTTAACTTTTTACTGTTATAATGATATATTAATTTTCTTTTTGTATTTTTTTCACTTCTATGTTAAACCACAGTGATGCATCTCTTTCCATCATTTTGTAATTAAAAAAAATTAAAAAATATATATAACATTTTAATTTTTAAATTTTTAAAAAAATAAATAAATATAAATAAAAATTCCCCTCTCACCCCTATGGGTGGTAAGTGTCTTCCTCAATCTCAGGTCCTCTACCAGAGGCCTGGGAGTTTGAGGGTTCTGCACAGTATCTTAGCTGTTCCTAGCACTGCACTCTTCTGGACAGAGAGCTCTGATGTTGTTCCTGGGATCTGTTGGAGCCACTCTCCCAGCTTAGGAGTCACGGCCCTGAGTGCTCCTACCATCACTGGGACCACTATATATAAAAAAATCTGGACATCTGCAGAAAGAATGCCAAAGTTATAGATGGATTTATTTCCTGGACATTAGAGCATAATGTGTCAGAATGGCTGACAGTCTCCCGGAACTGTGTGGAATATTATGGTTAACCAAGTTATTATGGCCAGTATGACATGATATCTACTGGAACTACCATTTGAAGAACTGGAGCACAGAACTGCAAACGTCGTAAATTTGGAGGAATTATTCTACTGATTGCATCTACCATGGCCAAAGACAAAGAACTGTAAGAGTTGCAGTGCAAAAGAGACACCAAGTTGCCTACCACTTCCTAAGCGGCCTGTGGAGGTTTTGATGCCAATCACCTTACTTGGGAGCTTCAATAACAAATGAGAAAATGTTAGATAAAACTTAATTTTAAAAAATATCCATCATTCAATCAGGGCCTAAAAGCTAATCCCCAAAATTAACCATGCTTTATATCAATGAATTTTAGTTATAACTAGCTTTTTAATGGGGTTTTGAGAGTTCTAAAGAGAGGCATTTTGAGGAAGATCTCCTATATGCTTATTAAAGCCACTCGACTTTAAAAGTAGCCACAGAGTTTACCTTCAATCCCTTAACATTTATGAGAACCACCCAACAATATTACTCAGTTTCTATAAAGAAGTCAACAATATTCTTACCAAAACCAAGTCTAAACTAATTTCAATAGCTAAATTAAATTCATATTCTTCCCTATTACCTGCAAAACCCACCATTCTTTTATGTCTTCCTTGTGTCAATTTTTAGACTGTAAGAACCTTGAAACAGAGACAGTCTTTTTAGTGATATTTAGTTAAACATCATAAGATGCTACTAAATGAATGGCTGAAATGAGGAAAGCAGGTTTATTTGCACAGTGCAGATCTTGCTGTGCTGAAAATAAACTGCCATGGGGAACTTCGTTCTGAAAAGTTATATATTACTGAAGTAGTCAGGAAGGCAGGAAGCTTAGGATAAAATCCTGCCAGAGTCGACAATTTAGAAAGAGTAGAAGGTTAAAATGACCTGACATATATATTTAATTTGTTCCATGTAGAACAAATGAAACACACACGCACACACTTGAAAGAATGTATATCTACTGTATATAGCAGTTGCCCAATAAAGATGATCCATAGGAACAGGAGAGTTTAATGTCCTATTTGAACACGACTGTATCCTTTTTCCTTCTTCCCAATGGAGAATTAAAGGCAGCAATTCCCCACAGGTTTTAATTGGATGCCTATCACAACTCTGCTACCAGAAATCCATAACCAGGCATAGCACGGATTAGGAACAACAACTACTCACTTGCGTTTGTTTTCTGCATAAACTAGAGTTCTATGCCTGATGGCCTAAGGACTACAGTGGGTAAGTATCAGATTGCACATTCAAGCAATGAAGCGTAATCATCTGAGGCAAGGCAATTGTATTTAGAAAATGCAATATGGTTTGGGTAGGGTGTGCATGTGTGTGCATTTTTTAGCAATAAACATTGAGCTAGTGGGTATATCATGCTAAGCCAGGCTAATGGTTTTACAAGGAATGGGACCTGCTCACACTCACTGGCTCCATTCCCTGAGCAATGCAACTAGCAAACAGATGTCACTGTTTAGTTAGAACATAGCATGTACTCCAAATACAGGTTACATGCTCCTCCTGGTCACAATTACCTAGAGAATATAACCATAAACAAATCTTGGCTACATTCTCTAGTTAGCAGAGGCTGGATATAAAGTGCATCCTACATTCAGACAACACTCTTAAGTACAGACAGTTGTTTGGATACCAAATTACCTAAAGAGTATGGAAAACTAGGGGGACTATTCTATGCTTAGCCTGATTTAATGTGACGTTTAAGCATTTCTTGAACACATTTTACAAAAAGAGAGGGTAGTAAGTGCAGAGGTGACATGCCTGTAAACTTCATGCAAGTTTCTCTCTTACCTATAGACATCAATAGCATTAGCAATCTAAAACACTTTAGACTATCCAAATGATTGAGAGGAGCTGTCTTTTTCCATTAGAAGTAATTTAAATAGTTACAATCTATTTCTGTTACTTTGTCTTTAAGATGGAATAACAATCCTGGATCTCAAATGAAGAGAGACCATTTGGACTGGCATAGAATCGTGTTCCAAACTTGGTTGTGTATATGCGTGAGGCGTATGTTCTACTGCTGAGCTATCATTGCCTAACAGAGCCTGAACAAAGCACTCTCATCATGCCAGTCAAAGTTTACAGAGAGTGCTGCTAATCAGGACAAGGACACAGCATGATTTGGAAGCTGCTCATATTTAGTCATGCTTAGAGTAGGAACATCGGTGTGGGGGGGGCGATGAGCTGTGATCTGAAGAGGTTGGTTGATATACCAGGAAGTAACTTCTTTTAGAAGTTTAAATGCCTTCTGTGCTGATTCTTTCCACTCTCTCCTGATCATGCCAAGACAGACATGAAAAGCAAACCTGGAGGCATTTCTTTTTCTTTTTAAATAAAGATCTTAGATTTTATGCCTCCAGGGCTACACATTCATATGCAGCTAGAAATTAAGTTGCTGGTCAGGACATTTTAAAAACAAAGTTGGCTCTCTTGGTCCATGAGAAGAGTAAATGCCATTTCATTTTGTAGAATTCTATAAAGAAAACCAGGAACCATGTTAGCCTCAATACTGAGTCAAAGGAAGAATGGGAACTATCTATTCACAATTCACAAGACTCCCATTAAAGGGGCATTTTGTCAGGTATGATTTAAACAAACAATGCAACTGTGAGCTCTGTGCATTGTTAGAAAATGTCCAGTGATTTGTTTGGAAATGTGTCCACTTGCTCAGAAAAAAAAATTAAAGCAAGCTTAGGGTGGAGGTGGCTGGGGAAAATGCCAATAGACAGCATCCTCATTGGTTTACCTCCTGAAAAATTGGTTTACCTTCTGACCATTGGTTTATCTTCTGAAAATACAATTGTTTGCTGATTGGCCATGCCAACCATGGTAGTCATTTTGAGAAGGAGAAAATGTTCACGGGGGAAAGCCACTTGTGAGAATCACAGGATATGCTTCTCAAATTCCAAATGTGCTCATCAACAATTCACAGAGGCTGGTTTCCCAGAGGAAAACTTATAGATACTCTGCACAGAGTGCCAGAGAACTTGGAAAAATGGTGTAAGAGCATTTCAGATATATGAAAACTAAACAAATATTTTAGAGATGAAGACAGTGCAAGGCTCTACTAGAAGAAAATAACAAGAAGATCCAATAGAGAAATCTGTAATGCAGAGATCCAAAATGATAGATTCATACAATCTGGCCCTTTCTGCATTGCCCAACAGTCTTCCCCAACCTGGGATCTTCCAGATGTGTTAGATGATGTTCCAGCTGAAGATCAACACATCTAGAGTGTATCATGATGGGGAAGGATGATCAAGAATATAGGAAAATGTTAAATACAGAGAGAGACTAGATGAAAAATTAATGAGTGATACTGTTAAAAACATAACAAGGACACAGATATTGCACTAATATTTAAAACTAAAAGTGAGATGGACATTTATACTGGTGTAGCAGTGAAACCAAAGCAGCTTTTGTTATGGATTTGTACCATGAAATGGCTATGTAAAACCAGGATTGTGTATATCATTTAATGAACCAACTTCTTTGAAAAGCCTTGAATTAGAAGAAATGTTCTACTGGCAGTTCAATCTGCAATGGCTTGTTCACCCAAGTGATTTACTACTTGATTCCAAAGTTGTCAGAGAATAGCAAGGATATGGTAACCTTCTAAGGTTTCTAGAAAGAACTGGAGTGGAGGGAGTCATAATGTGTTTTATGCATTCTTCCCTTATATATTGAATTATATTAGCTATGCAAAAGAATGTTCAGCAAAAATGCTGGGGTAGAAAAAAAATGCTATAAGCAGAATGCAATTAAAAGCAATTCCTAATCAATTTTTTATCATATAATGGCAGTCTGCAAATATATATGAAGTTATCAGCAACCAGTAGTGCATATTGTGCCGGCAGCTCTATTTGGAAGATTAGTTTTGTGGAGAAGTAGGATAGTAATTTTAGAAGGGAACAAAAAAACATGTTTCCTGAACAACAACAAAAAAAGTATCTAGTTATTACTGCATGGCAGGATTTGATGTCCTAAACAGCAGACACAGCTTATGTTTACAATAATATCGAATATACAAATTCTTCATCTTGCTTGAAGGTAAATGAAAAAGCTATAGATCAGTAGAAATGGCATATATGGACATATGAATATGAGAAGAGGAGAAAAAGAATACAGGTAGTCCTCAGTTTAAGAACGAGTTCTGTTTCCAAGGTCTGTCCTTAAGTCGAATTTGTATGTAAGCCAGAACAATATTATTGTATAA